AATTTCTAATTTTCCTTCTAGTATATTATATATGTGAGCTCTAGTTACCTAATTGGTGAGGAGTTGTGCCACCAGTCAAAGGTAGGTAAGTTGCTCCATGGGAGAAAGATAGGTAACCTCCTCCCACTCAATTTACAGCCTCTGAAAACCTGCTGGAGGGTCAACTAAGAGTCAGTTTCAGCATAATCATAATGATGAGTAAGTGACTCTATTAGTTTCATATATCAAGATAAGTCCTTGAGTTAGCCCTTCTCTTTATATTTTGGTCTTGTATGCTGGTTCATGTCAGGACTTGCCACGCAGTGGGTCTCCGGCACCAAGCAGCTTCAGTGTGAACAGTTACCCCTTGCTGCCTTGGTAGAAAGGGTATGATTCTCCCTTCCCAGCTCCCTGGGCACCCACTTGTGCTCCAACACTGGTCTCTCCTTCTCATCCTACCCTCTCTCCCAACTCATCCTGTTACCACCTCTTCAAAGAATATAGCCATTGTTATATTAATTATGCTTTGAATTAAGAAAAGAAAAGAAGAGGTGGAGAAAATTAACAAAGTGAACCACATAGACAAGGGGTAAAAGGGGGTGGCTCATTATGAAATAATATGAAATCTTAAAGAATCAATTTAGCCTCCAAAATAGATTTGCACTTATTTTTTGATTCTTCCAAAGACAAATAACTGAAAGACTTATTGTAATATTTAACACTTTGTCAGATTCAGTGACACACTGGGCCCACTAGGAGTGACAATCTAAGGATGTAATAACATGCCAGAGAAGTCTGAGAGTTAGATACTAACTGAATGGGGCAAGTTGTAGGGGGAAGGATCCAGCAGCTGGGATAGGGAGAAAACTAAGTCTGTAGTCAGAAGAAGATGGACTTCAGAAAAAATGAGAAATGTGTCCCATGAGGATAATTAGACCTAGATAAATGGGAATATTCTTTACCAGCAAATAGAAAATAAAATGATAGAACAAGATGGACTTGAAATTTTGTATTCTTGACATCTAAGAAAGCAAGGATGTGTATCCTTAGGCACAAGGCAGATGTTCTAGGGTCAGGAAATGACAAGAACCAGATAAGGCTCTGAAACAGAGAAGGGCTTCTCATGTTTTATAGGCATGTAAATCTGTTGGCTGGCAGATATGCTGGCTATGTCAACAAGTCAGGGTTGACCAGATTATGCTGAAGCAACAAACTGTTTCATGATCAGTGGTCTATGTTCATCCCGAGTCAGTGGAGATGCTGGTCCATTCATACTTGGATACAGGCTAATAGAGCAGACAAGAGCTTGAACATGGTCTGGCACTGTGACAAAGGAGAAGAAAGCTCTAGAGAATGTAAAAGGTAAGTGAATAATAACACATGTTAAATATATACCACTGCTTAGAAGCAACACACGTCAATTCTGTTCACAACTCATTCGCCAGAGCTAGTTAATTGGTCCAAATCACAAGACGGCCTGGAAAGTGCATGTGCCCAGAAAAGTGTGTATGGAAGTGTGGTAGGGGCCAGAGGCAATAAGCACATATAGCTAATAGCATTAATCACAGCCATCAGTCAAAATTCAAATTTCAGGTCCCTTTTCAACAGGTCCTGACTCAAGAATGGTGAATGGTGGGCATTCAGGTCACTCCTGGGGAATCTGACCCAATGAAGCACTGTCTGACACCCTTACTTCAGTGTAAGTGAGTGATCAAAAGGAAGGAACAGGCGAGATAAAGTGTCCGAAAGTCGATGTCACATCAAGGCTGGGTAACCTTGTGTTCAAAGCAGAATTATCGATTTGGTTCTCCCACCGCCCCTGCTGCGGGTCCCAGCAGTTCAGCATCAGGCAGAGAGGCAGCAACTGAGCTTCGCGAAGGCCCTGTGTGCACTCTGCCCACAGACACGCAGCAGGAGCCTTCCCCCCCTGTGAACATGCCCAAGAGGAAGGACAGCTCTGCCGCCTAAGGTGTGGTGAAGGAGGAGCCCAGGAGGAGATCAGTAAGGCTGTCAGCTAAGCCGCCTGAAAAGTGGAAAGGAAACCCAGAAAAGAAGCAGGAAAGGAGAAGTCGTCTGACAAAAAAAAAAAAAATGCAAACAAAAGGGAAAAGGGGAGCAAAGGGGAAAAAAACAGGCTGAAGTGGCTAACCAAGACACTAAAGATTTACCTGCAGAAAATGGAGAAACTAAAAACAAGGAGGGTCCAGCCTCTGATGAAGCAGGAGAAAAAGAAGCCAAGTCTGATTACTATTTGTCTACCATATCTTATCAGAGGTCCCTGTATCTCATTTCTTGTACAATCCAGAGGATATTTTTATCAACTATTTTGTAAATGCAATTTTTTTAGTAGCTCTAGAAACATTTTTAAGAAGAAGGAAATCCCACTTCATCCCATTTTTAAGTGTAAATGCTTTTTTTTTAAAGAAAAAAAAAAAAAGGTGAGATCATTTTCTGGTTGTTTATTTTTTGGTACAGCCAGAAAATGTGGGATGTTAAAATTGGAGGGGGGTGCAGGGGTGGGGTGGGGCTTTGGATGTCAGTGTAACATTCCTTGGGAAAAGGGGACAGTTTTCATATCCCATAATACATAGCATATTTAATGACAATATGGAGTCATAGTCGTGCATTTATGACACTTTAAGTCTTTTTCCCCATGTTTTTTAGATACATAATTTAGAACATTGTTTAGTAAAATTTCTTCTTAAATGTAACCACTCCCCCTTCATACTTTCTCCCTGTCAGAATTATGTGGATTCTGTAACATCTTTGGTCTTGGTAGTCCAGTTTTCCTAATAACTTTGTTATGTGCTGTGAACGGTTGAAAATTTGAATGTGTAGTGTATGTGTGATAGTAAGTTGTGAGTTAGTGGGACTTAATGATGTGAAAGTTTATAGGCAATTGAAGATATTGGTACTTATTTTCTTCTTTATGAAAACTTTCATCCAAATTTAAATCTGGAAGGTCACTGGAATTTAGAAGAGAATTATAACTACATTGCTTTTTAGATTTTTGTACTTGCATTAAGAATTGTGTACAGGTTGTTCATAATGTTTCTGTACTGGTCCTTAAAACAACCAATAAAATATAAATCATGAAAAAAACAAATGAACCCAGAATTATCTAAGTGGGCCACAAAGTGACGAAACACTGGAACCCAAAGACGAGACAAAATCCCCTAAAATTCTTAGAGCCTCAGGTCTATGCTGCATTCTCTAAGATAATGTGAAAAGAGGGAAATGGACAGACTCCAGGCAATGATGATTTGTTGTTGTTGTTGTTGTTGTTGTTGTTGTTGTTGTTGTTATGTGCCATCGAGTCGCTTGCGACTCATAGCGACCCTATGTACAACAGCCCTAAACTCTGCTCTGTCCTGTGCCGATCTGTCTCTGACACTCCCATCCTGATTACCCCAGTCACCTAATCAATCCATCTCATAGAGGGCCTTCCCCTCCTGCACCTACCCTCTACCCTCCCAAGCATGATGTCCCTCTCCAAGGACTGGTCTTCCTTACAATATGACCAAAGTATGTTAGACGGAGCCTCAGAATCCTTGCCTCAAAGGAACAGCCTGGTTTAACGCTCTCTAGGATGAATGATGCTCAAATGTAACCTAAATTATACATTTGTATTAGCAGGAACTCACCCAATGTACATATTTTATTGGGTCATCACTTTCCTTCTTTTTGTTTTATTCTTGCTTCTCTCTTCCTTCCTCTATACCTATTCTCTCTATTTCCTCTATTATTGTCCTTTTTTTCCTTCCTTTTTTATTTTTATTCTCTGCTTCCCCTCCAATTCTTCTCTGGTCCCTTGGTATCTCCTCTTCTGCCTATCCTTTTTCATCCTTTCCCTTCTCTTCATTCATTCTCTCTCATGTTATTATCCCCTTCCTGTCTCGCCTATTTCTCCAAAGCAGTGGTACCAACCCCTCTCTTCTCTCTCCAGGTATTATGCCATCTGCTGTCAGCCTTTGGTCTACAGAAACAAGATGACTCCTCTGCGTATTGCACTCATGCTGGGAGGCTGCTGGGTCATCCCCATGTTTATCTCTTTCCTTCCCATAATGCAAGGCTGGAATAACATTGGCATAAGTGAGTGGGTGAGTACCCATAGTCTTCACAGGTTTACACCAAGACCACCTCTTTGCTTGTGACTCTGAATAAATAAACTGAGAATGGTGCTGATGATAACCTGACTGATAACAATGAACAAAACACATGTTTAATACCTACTCTATATCAGAAAGTAAAAGAAATCTTTTCCGTATAAACATGACAGCACTCTTTCAGGAAACAAATTATTTTTCTAGTTTCACAGGTGAGAAAATCCTGACCTAAAAGAGGGTTAAGTAATTCAATTATCAAATCAACAGAAACTTAGAAATAACAGAAGTGGTGTTCAGACCTTAGCAGTTGGTTTCTAGAGTTGAACCCGAGAGGTGTGATGCTTTGAAAGGACTTTCTTTCATTTAATAACTTAATAATGACAGTATATAAGATCTGCAATGACTCAAGGAGAACATATAATTTGGGTGGAAGCTCCTCAGAATGAAGATAGTCCAGGATCAGAAATCAAGGGAACTGGGTCCCAAGATCAAACATGTTACTGATCTTCTTAAGGTTAGTGATGAGGAGATCCACAGGTCCTTCATAGAGAAGTTTATTTTCCAGGAGTTTAGAATATCACCATGTGGCACATAAAGAAGGTATTTGTCAGCAGGGGCCTACATGGTCTTTGCGGGTCCCTCCAGCTGTGACATACTGTTTGTATAAAACTGACCCATGTTGCATTGGTTTCGATGACTCATAACAAGTCCCCTTAGTATTTCCAGTGCTCTAAATCTTTATGGGAGAAGACTGGAAATCCATGGAGAATCTGATGAATTTGAACTGCCAAACTTTTGGATAATAATATAACATGCTATGCACTATACCATCTGTGCTCCTGGATTTACTAATTCACTCATTCATTGCCTTCAAGTTGGAAACAACTCATAGTTGACCCTCCAGTGAATCTTCAGAGGATAGAAATTTCACTCAAGGAGATTGCCTGTTTTCTCTTTGGAACAGCTGGTAGATTAAAACTCTCTTTGGTTTAGCAGCACAACTCCTTACTCACTAAGGCACGAGACCTCACTCCTGGATTTATGGTTATTAGGTGCTGCCACATTGTCTACAATGATCCAATGAATAATGGATCTGAGCCTTCCTGTATCCCATTCCATCACCTCTGATATACTTGAGCCCACTGTTATTGTCACTGTGTCGGTCTATTTCTTTGATGGTCTTCCTCTCTTTTGTTGACCTTCCACCTTTCCAAGGATTATTTCCATTTCCAAGAGTTAGCGCTTCCTAACCATATGCCCACCTGTAGCTAATGTTAGATAAATCTTGGCTGAAAGCAGAGAGTATCAAAGGAATGTCTATCTGTGTTTCATTGAGTATGCAAAGGCATTTGACTGTGTGGATCACAACAATCTGCAGATGACTCTGAGAAGAATGGGAATCTCCAAACAGTTGATTGTGCTTATGTGAAGCCTATACTTGGACCAGGAGGCAGTTGTCAGAACAGAGCAAGGAAACACTGACTTGTTCAAAATTGGGAAGGGTGTGTACCAGGGATGTGTCCTATCTCCATACCTTTTCAATCTATGCAGAACAGATTATCTGGGAGGCTGGGATCTATGAGGAGAAATGTGGCATCAGGATTGGAAGAAGACTCATCAACAATCTGCATTATGCAGATGACACAAACCTGCTTGCTGGAACTGAGGAGGACCTGAAGCGCTTGCTGTAGAAGGTCAAGGATTGCAGTCTTCAATAAGAATTGAAGCTCAACAGCAAGAAAACAAAGATTCTCACCACTGAGCTAATTGACAGCATCATGATAGATGGTGAAGAGATTGAGATTGTTAACAACCTTAGTTTGCTTGGCTCCACAATCAACACTCTTGGTACCAGCAGCCAGGAAATTAAAAGATGAATTGCATTGGAAAAGTCGGCTATCAGAGACCTCTCCACAGAACTGAAGAGCAACGATGTCAAGTCTAGAGACTAAGTAATTACTTGCTATGCATCAGAAAGTTGGACAATGTCTGAGGAAAATAGGAGAATTGATGCCTTTGAGTTGTTGTACTAGAGAAGACTATTAAATATACCATGGACTGCTAGGAGAACAAACAGATTTATCCTAGAGAAGATGTGAACAGGCTGTTCCTTGGAGGCAAGGATTCTGAAGCTTCATCTGACATACTTTGGACATGTTGCAAGGAGGGCCCAGTCGTTGGAAAGGGATGTCATGCTTGGGAAGGTGGATGGACAGTGCAAGAGAGGAAGATCCTCGATAAGATTAATTGAGTCAGTGCCTGGGATAAAGTGGGTAGGTGTATCAGAGACAAAAAATTGGCACAGGATAGAGCAGGGTTTAGAGCTGTTGTTCATAGGATCGCTGTGAGTCTCAGGCAACTGAATGGCACATAACAACAGCCATGTGTCCAAAATATGTGAAATGAAGTTTCACCATCCTTGTCTCTAAGGAGCACCGTGGTTGCACTTTCTCCAAGATATATATGTTTGTTCTTTTGACAGTCCATGGGATATTCAATACTCTTCACCAGCACCACAACTCAGTCATCAATTATTCTGTCATTTATTGTCCCACTTTCAAATACACAGCAAGTCATTACAAAGACCCTGGCTTGAATCAAATGCATTCTAGTCTTAAAGCTGACATAATGACTCCTTAATAGCTTGGAGGGATCCTTGACAGGAGATTTTCTTAATGCACCTTGTCTTTTGAGTTCTTTATTGCTGGTACCAATGGATCTAAGGAAGATGAAAACATTAACAATTTAAATCTTTTCTGCAACTATTATGACATTGCCTGTTGGCCCAGTGGTGAGGATTTTTGTCTTCTTGATGTTGAGATGTCATCCATATGTAGTCTGATCTTCTGCAGCAAGTTTGAAATCTTCCTTGGTTTCAGCAAGCAAGGTTGTGTTATCTGCATAATTCAAGTTGTTGCTGAGTTTTCCTCCTATCATGATGCAACATTCTTTTTAATAAAGTTCAGTCTCTTGAATTATTTGCTTAGCATACAAAGTAAATAGATAAAGGAATGGGATACAGCTCTGACATACATATTTTTTTTTAATTTTAAGCCATACAGTATAACCTTGCTTCATTTCAGGCAACAGCTTCTTGGTCTAGGTGTAAGATTCACATGAACACAATTATGTGTTCTGGGATTCCCATTCTTCTCACAGTATATGTTTTATAACCTACACAGTCAAATGCCTTTAAAATAGTCTATAAAATAGGCATCCTTCTGGTATTTTGTTTTCAGTCAAGATGCATCCAACATAAGCAGTGATCTTCTTGGTGCCAATGTCCCTTCAGAATCCAGCTTGAATTTCTGGAAATTCTCTATCAATATACTATTCTAGCCATTTTTAAAAATAATCTTCCACAGTATTTTACTTACATGTGGTATTACTTGATAATTTCCATATTTTGTTGGATTGCATTTTGAGAATGGGAACAAATATGGATCTCTTTCAAGCTTAATTCGTTAGCAGTGGTTTTTTTTCCCCTAAGGAAGAAGTTTTTGGCTGACACAACAGATAAGGAGGCTTAGTTGCTAAGTGAAATGTTAATGTTTTATATCAACCCAGGGGCACTTTAGAAGAAAAGCTTTTCATTCTATTTCTGAAAGATTATAATCACTGAAAAAAGTCCCTGGGGCACAGTTCTGCTTTACCACACATGGGGTTGACATGAGATGGAACAGACTTAATAGAATGAATTTGGCTTATTGCCTTAAGAAGTTGTCATGAAGTCAGTTTAAAATTGATTGTAGGACTCATGGAGAAGTGGGACTGAAAAAGAAAAGGTTGAGAGTATCCTCTGACTCAACAGGGCCAAGTGGAGTGTTGTTGTTAGGTGCCATCAAGTCCTACACGACTCATAACGACCCTATAAACAAAAGATCTGGGCTCTGTTCTATCCTGTGCCATCCTCACATTTCCAGACCCACAAGAGCCCATTGAAGCAATCACTGTGTCAATCCACTTGGCTGAGGGTCTTCCTTTCCTTCGCTGGCCCTCCACCCTTCCTAGTATCGTGCAAGCTACTTCCATAAAGATTTGCAGTCTTGGAAACATTTTGGGACAGATCTAGTTTGTCCTATAAGGTTTATATGACTTGAAGTTGTTGCAGTAACAATGGCTTTTCTTTTTAATTTGCCAGAAATAAAACTTTATGATAGCCACTGATTTTACAAATCCCTAACCATACAAACTAACTGCATCATAATCTGGGAGAAACTTCATCAAAATGCAGAGCAAGCTCATTTAACTGCTTTCTCTAAGAAAAATAAACCTTGAAAGAGATGAAAGAAATCTTTAAAATCTTTTCTCTAGATCCTACCTAGATGAAAATAACTTGCTTCAGGTATTTTTACTGTGTTTAAGGAGAAGGGGGGCAAAAATCTGAAATCAGCTATTTCAGTTCCTGAAGAAAGTCCTCCCTGACTTTTCAAAGCTCGGAAGTTTCCCACAGGGCATCACTTTTTTGCTCTGTGTTTTAAACGCTTCTTCAGCTCTATTCCACAGAAATATAGTTGGAACTTCAATTTAAAGTCACATATGTAATTTCAAATTTTCTAGTAAAGGCATTAAAAATCTAACAAAAGAGAGTTTTCACTTTAATATGTTTATTTAATGCAATAGGCTGAAAATATTATTTCAACATGTTGTTCTTGTTGTTGTTGTTAAGTGCCATCGAGTCACTTGCGACTCATAGCGACCCTATATACAACAGCCTTTAACTCTGTTCTGTCCTGTGCCAATCTCATTGACTCCGACACACCCATCCTGATTACCCCAGTCACTGAATCAATCCAACTTCTAGAGGGCCTTCCCCTCCTGTGCTGTCCTTCCAACCTCCCAAGCATGATGTCCCTCTCCAAGGACCTGTCTCTCCTCACAACATGACCAAAATATGTCAGACGAAGCCTCAGAATCTTTGCCTCCAAGGAACAGCCCGGTTTAACCCTCTCCAAGATGAATCTGTTTGTTTTCTTAGCAGTACATGGTACCCT